TGCACACACGCACGTACATATACTCGTGCACACACGCACGTACATATACTCGTGCACACACGCACGTACATATACTCGTGCATACACGCACATACATATACTCGTGCATACACGCATGTACACACACGCAAGCAGCTGTAAGTGAGTTAGCGTGGCATGCTGGACGTCATGGCAAATCTCTCTTGCGCGTGCGTTCCCACCAGCAGAGGGCGCTCACCAGCATTGACAGCTCGCACGGGGGCCGGCTGCCATCCACGCGTCGTGTCCGACTCCCGCCGCAGCGCGCTGGGCAGGTGCTCGGGAGACATGGAGCAGGTGGAGTCTCTCAGCTTCTTATCCGCTTGGTCGCATATCAGCGCAGTCTCCGCCGTCAGGTCCTTCTTAATGTTGTTGTCTTCTGCAGACGCCGTCCGAGGAAGTGAGGCGGGGAAGAGGACGAGGCAGAAACAAACAAAAAAACACGCATCATCGGTAAGGTTTTGCCGCGGTTGTCATCATGGCAAAAGTCACTCTCGCTTAATCGCAGACGAGATTGGTGAGAACACGGCGCTGTCGGCGGCGTGAATGACGTCATCGGCAGCGATGCGATTTTTATGCCGCCATTATACGCCCGTGTGAAATAAAAGGTCATACGGTGTCATAACAAAATAAATGAAATAAAATAAAAAGTAATTAAACTAAATTCTTACATACTAATGTAAATTATAAAAAAAATAAATACATAATGAAATAAATTAAAAAATGAATAGATTATAAAGAATGAAAAACAATAATTAGAAATAACCTGAACATAACAAGTAAAATAAAGTAATGACAAGTTATAAAGAATGCGTGTTGGCGTAGCTCCGTACTAACCTTTATACGTGTATACGTGTTGGCGTAGGTCGTATACAACCACTTTAATACGTGTAGTGGCGTGTTGGAGATAGCTCACGTAGCTAAGCTGTTATGACGTGTATGCGTGTTGGCGTACGAACTTCGTACACCTTTAACGTGTATGCGTGTTGGCCCACGCTAGCGCCCGACATACTAACTTAGTCGTGTTAGCGTTTGAGGTAGCTCCCCACACCCCTCCGTACACTAACCTTGTATCGCCCGTGTATGCCGGTTGGTGTAGCTTGTCTATCACCTTGTATGACGTGTATGCCCCGTGTGTGGCGTAGTTCGTCACTCTGTTAGTACGTGTATGCGTGTTGGCGGTAGTCGTACTAAAACGCGCTTATACAGTGTATGCGTGTTTGCGCCCGTAGCCTTCGGATACTAACTTTATACGTGTATCGCCGTGTGGGCCGTAGTAAGCTATCATTAATACGTGTATGCGTGTTGGCGTAGCTCGTACTAACCTTTATACGTGTATGCGTGTTTGGCGTAGCTCCGTACTAACCTTTATACGTGTATGCGTGTTTGCCCGTACGCTCGGCGTACTGAACCATTTATACGTCTACAGCGTGGTTGGCGTACGCCCGCCTAACCTAGACGTTTATTACTGGTATGCCGTGTTGGCGTAGGCTCGTACTAACCTTTATACGTGTATGCGTGTTGTAGCTCCGTATAAACCCCCTCCCCCCACTCCGTTCTATACGTGTATGTGTTCGTAAGGGTCGTAGCTAACAATCTATACGTGTAATGGCGTGTTGCGGTAGCTCGGTACGTAACTTTATACGTGTATGTGCTTAGCGCAGTAGCCTCCGTACCTAACCTTTCACTACGCTGTATAGCGTTGTTGGGGATAGATGCCCGTACTGAACCTTTCTACGTGTATGAGTGTTGAGCTACTCTGTACTTAACCTCTATAAAGCTGTACTCGAGGTGTTAAGGGCGTAACATAAACCCCGTACTAACCCTTTGATAAGTGTATGCGTGGTATGAGCGTACGACTCCAGGTAATCAGACTTTTACGTGTATGCGTGTTGGCGTAGCTCCGTACTAACCTTTATACGTGTATGCGTAATGTTTCATCTTCTTCTTGCGAATGTAGAGAATCAGAACGACGAGGAGGATGAGGAAGAGCAAGATTCCGCCGACGATCGGTACGATGGTTGCTATGTCCTGATAGAAGGCAATGTCTCCATCACCGAACACCGCCCGCGGGTCCGCCGTCTCTGTAAACATGGGCGCGGCCGATTAGAACACAATTACGTTCGTTTTGAAGAGTTCATCTGTTGCATCTGTGACCACGGGCGAGGGAGTTAGAACACTATCCCCTGCATGCATTCTACAGGTTTGCTATCTCTGTAAACACGAGTAGTCAATTCCAAGAATAATAACTTCCTAGATTTCTGCAGCGGTAAAAAACGTATAGATTGTAACCATTTAACCACCACTGAAACATGGAATTGGAAACGCCGAGGAATATAGGAGTAATATAACAATGTACAATAAAGCATATACAATAAAACACATAGTAATGTCATATAGCCGTATACACAACGCGTTATTGACGTCAGTATGGAATTACAACGTATTTTGTGTTTACTTCTCCGTCTACACGTGAAATACAGCATGTGTCTGATTTTTGCTGACTCGACAGCTACATCAAAATAAAATCATAAAAAAAGTATATACCAATTTTCGATATATATTGTGGCTCAAATGACACGGTCAATTAGAAGTGAAAAGGTTTGAGGAGTAGAGTGGTCAGAGCTTCAGTGGTAGAGAAAGTTTCCGGTTTTGATTCACGTTATCCTAATGGCCGCTTCTGCCTTCTCACGGGAACAGCGACGGAAAATGTCGAATTAAAGTGCCCGCGTAATTCCCCGCCTAATGGAAATTATGTTTTTCCAACTGTAATTTTTTCCGCCGATGGCAGCTATACATTTTCCCCTCAGCGATAACCACTCCCACTAACATAACATCCGTTTTTACGAGAACGAGTGGGGAGTGATAGTAACAGAGCGGTATTCCCCACGGACATTCCGCTTACGTGGATCTAGAAAGCTGAGAGAAACGAACTGAACATGGCCGTGGCAATGTACGTGAATGACGTGGAGGCGTATAGGTACGTACGGCCGACGTGCATCAGTGTGGAGAGATCGTACTGCGCCGTCGTGCTGCCAGCCTCATTGTGGGCCGTGACCCGCAGCGTGTAGTGAGTGCCGGGTTCAAGGTCGAGGATGCGAAACATCACCTGTGCCGGGGAACAGTGACGTCACTGATTACAGGTGAGATCGGCTGCTTAATGATTGCTTAATGATTGCTTAATGATTGCTCAGATTTCTTTCGTCTATGTCTCGTTATCTTTTAACTTCTCACATGGATGCACTTTCTCACTGTCTCTCTCACGTTTGTCCTCTCGATTCACGCTCGTTCACTCTCTCTCTCTCCCACACGTGCACCCACGCACATGCATGCACCCATGTAAGTGCACGCACTCATGCACTCATGCACACACGCACGCACACACCCACGCATGCACCCACGTACCTGGGAAGATGCACACACCCACGTACCTGGGAAGGGTCGACACTGTTAGCTACAGTCTTCCACGCATCGTGTCCGTATTGCCGGTATTCGACGACAAAGGACTTCAGCGGACAGCCGCCATCTTGCCATGCTGACATGTTCAGTGTGATGTAGGTGGAGTTAAGAATGATGAACCGCTCGCTCGGTGGTTGAACGGGAGCTGCAAAACAAGATGGCCACCCTGTGGTTAAACACGGCGTAATATACAGGGCGTAGCATCATAGAAGATGTCTATGTTTGTGGGGATTGTGACACTAGCGGTGCTGTCATTTGTGTTACTCTTGATAATCTCAATTACACACACGCACACGCACACGCACACGCACACGCACACGCACAAGAGAGGGGGTTGAGAACTGGCACACGACCAACACAGCACACACACGCACATATATATAGTATATATATATATACATATAAATATATAGATTATATATATATTTATATAGATATATTATATAATATATATAATCAAGAGTAAGCATAATAGAGAATTAAAGAGATCTCTATTATGTATCTCTTGATTAATGAGAATTAATGGCGTTAGCGTAAAAACAATAATAATGAGTGGCTATTCATTATAAACGCGGAGTGGTGTTCATGGCGATTGTGTGTTCATGCATGTGTTCATCATGTGTGTTCGTCATGTGTTCATCGATGTGGTGATTCATCATGTGTTTAATCGATGTGTGTTTGTCGCTGTGGTT